AACAAAAAGGTTCATCTTCATTGCCTCCATTTCTTGATTACTGAGTAATTAATTTGGAATATAGAAAAAAGGAGAGGAAGAAAGAAACTTGATTGCTTATATTGCTGTAGAGGAAGTGTAAGGACAATGGTTGTGGGTTGTAGGCTATATATCCTCAGAGAGAGGAGAGAGAAAGAGAGAGACGAGAGACAGAAAGATAGATTAAATTTTTCAATTTTCAAATTTTCAATTTTCAAAGGCTGCTGAACTGCCAAATTTCCCAAAGTGAACGTTAGGGGGGGTTGATGAAGTTGACACCTCACAGGGTGGCTTTGGCATTGTTGTCATACAACTGTCACCTTGCCTCAGGGTCCCCCCACGTTTGCTGTCTTCTAAAAGATTTTTAACCTATTGTTTTGCCAATTTTTTTTATAGTTTTTTTTCACAGTTTTTTTCACTTTCATTCTGCTAATTAAATTCGTTTATAGCATGTCTATTTATTTAATCGATGAAATCATGAATCGAGAAATTTAGAAGTTGAAAAAAAACGAACTTGTACTGGAACAGCTCATTTCTAATTATCAATCTAGTCTTAGTTTTTTCAATTAAAGAATTACCAATTGTTTCATGGAGATCACAATCTTTTCGATTATGTATCTATTAGCAATTGGATTCAATATAGATAAGTAAACACAGTATAAGTTCTAACTTGATAGCTCATGCACTCATAAGTGGTTGAGTTTACCATTCATCATTCATTGGGTGAACGTTATTATGCTTTTCTAGTTTTCTTGTTGGGTGTATTATGGGATTCGGTAGGAAATGAAAAGTGATGATGAGCTGGTTGTATGATAATGTTATGTTTGTTTAACAATACTAGTACTACAGTGGATTATTATATGCACTTGTGCTGCTTTTATTTACATACTAGTGTGGTTTTGTGGCTGTACTTTTAATTGTATTTTAGAGTATGTAGGTGTTTTTGATATAAAATTTATAAAATACATAACTTACATGTAATGAGTCATTTCTCTTTACAAAGAGATTAAGTTTTTTATATACGTGCAGAAGCGTTTTATTTTATAGATTTATTGAAATATTTTGGTAAGAGCGCAGGAAGGAAGGATATAAAATGGATAGGACATATATACATGGGGTAGGAGGTAAAAGTCCTCGAAGTTACAATTTGAGTTGTGATTTCCACAATCTCGCTCCTTAAAACTTTAGCTTAAAATCCAGATGAAAGGGAAATCGGAACTGCTTGTGGTCTCTGCAATGGACAATAGTAATGGGAAAGCTGGCTTGGACACTTGGAAACTAGATGGGTCACCTAAGCTTACCAGCTGGGTTGGTGTGTTGTCCATATCAGCTTCATTCTGTATCTACACAGTTTTCAACTGAACCAAATGTGAATCAAATCAAACATGGAAATTTGATCTAATTATTTAAGACTGAATATCGGAGGAAAATTTTCATTCTTAATTTTAACAAATCCTTACATGTTCTATCGTAAAGACAATCTAATTATCATTAAAATATGTAAATTAAAGTTTTGAGTCCGCAAAATTGTGATCATATGATTACGAAAACTCTACTGTATGCGAATGGGTCAAAAGAAATTGAGCCAAGGAAATCAGCAAATTAAATATGGGTGATCATATTATCACGAACGAATCTTTTCCATAAGTGCTAGCTAAACTCCAACTCTTTTGCACAAGGCAAATCTAGGCTAAATGCTTTGAAACTGAAAGGATGTTTTTGGAATCAAACAAATTAACTGGGCCAATCTATAATAAATGAGAATAAGACGGTTTTTGTTACTTTTTTTATGCATCTTCCTAGTATTTCATTATCCAAGTCACGTCTAAGTAAAGAAAAGCAGTACTCAATCTTTACTATGTTTAAAGAAATTCCGATTTTAAATTTCATGAATGATTATAAATTTAAAAAAAATATATAACAAAAAAATTTTAAGTATTCACAAATCATGAATATGGCAGCCATATTGGCTAGAGAATCATAAAACCCACTAATATACCAGTATGTGACTTGCGAAGCATGAAGTGTTGGAAAGACATGCATAGTTATAGAATGAAATCGTACATGAAATTGAATGGGTTTGTTATTTTGTGACAAAGTGATATTTTAAACTACTTTAGCTTATAAGAAAGTGATTCGAATTTGAGCATAAACGGGCAAAATCATACTACCCTAGCCCAAACTGACCTTAACTGACATCTTCATAATGGAAAGGGACTAGATAGGAGGCACAAACCATCCAATCATTTCCATTTGCCTATCCTTTTGAGTTTCTTGCCTATATGCCTGGTTTTCTTTCTTCGGTTGGTGACTCGTACTTGTTTGACGACATTGGGATCAATTTGCAAGGTATAACTATTTATAAACCTAAGATAGATACCGATCGTCCACTCCATTGCCTCGTAAATCAATGCTATGCTGTCTTTCGCTTCCCATTCGATAATTCGATGCACATCAGCAAGTTAAACAAGACACGTTTTTTGGTGAATGCGAGACTACATAGAACAAAAGGTAAATACGATTTACTTTAAGATACAACTGAATTTAAGTGTGAATTACCTGATATAAAATCATCTGCGTACTCCTTACTGATTTTTCATGGGCCATTACACCCACCTGATCGAGCATAAATACGTAGTAGTCATGGTGATTCCATAATTTTAAAATAAATAAAGCAGCAAGTTCTGCAGTCCTAAGATAATAAGCAATTCAGATTCTGAAGTATACCACAAAAACAAGATCCTGATCATCGGCGCCAGCAGAAATAACGTACTTATCTATGTCAACCAACTTCTCTAAACTATCAGAGAGACCTACATATATCCCAATTATAATCAGTGACTTGACAGGTAAATGTCGAGTTACAGGTTCCTCGATGACGCGCATAAGTACCTCATTTGTATCTTCGGTGCGTATACATTTCTTTGTGAGCAACTCCACTAGAGAAACTGAAGAATCAAACGACAAATCAATTAATAAGTTCCTCATAATCGGTCAAGAAGTACTTTGAAGAGACGACCGGCAGTGTAGGATGATCGAATATATCAGAAAAGGACTGTTATTAGTGTGCTCTAAATTGGTCTTTCAACGCTCCTCCCTCCTTTAAAATTTTCACAAGGGAGGATTGTAGTTGCCATTAGCGACTCCCTAAGCATGAATTAATACACACAAGATCTTAGTAAGTCTGCATATGATCCAATGTTAAGACTTCTATTTCCTAAAAAATAAAAACATTAAAATTTTGGTAGCATACGGTAGCAAGCTGTATGTTAATCTCAATCCAAAACCTGAATTTACAGTTTGAGTTATAACTTAGAGTTGGGATTAATCCTTCCACTAAAAAAAACCTTAGAAAATTACTCATGTTAATATATTGTTGGAGCTAGGTTGAAACTAAGAGCTATGATTTCTAAGAATATAATTAATTTCTTACACACTCACACACACACACACACCAACAACTCACAAACCTGGTACACACGCCAACAAATCACAAACCTGGTAAACTATTGCAGGCCCAAAATCATCTTGTTCTGCTTGAGGAGAAGGTTACGGTCGTCATCCAATTTTAGAATCTTCCACCTCTGAAACATAAGAAACGCTAAATCTAGAATCTTCTACCTCTGAAACATAACAAATGTTAAATATTACGTCTAAGTTGAATTCAGGGTATCTTCTTTCAAGCATTTGCATATCAAATTAAAGAAATCTTAATCTTTTTTGTTTTTGTTTTTGATTTTGGAAGTGTGTACCTTATGGACGAAACCCTTTGTGAGAGAAGTGTTTTGCAGAATGAATATTATTGGGCGGGACTTCATCTTATTCGGTTGATGAGCATGATGAACTTGTTTTCTGTTGTTGTTCGATAAGTTCAACTCCGTTGTACTTCTTGTAGAATTGTTTTCTATCTTCCGCTTTGCCATGCCCCCACTCCTTACAGACATTTTTGTACTTTGTAGACAAGTGTACGCTTTTGTACTTTGTAGCCAAGTGTGGCAGCGTGGAGAATTTTGCAATAGAGTGATGGTGCTTCTTAAATAAAACCCTAAATCTGAAAGAAATTGCCAACAAAATTAAAGAAGGAACCCTAGCTAGAGAGTCCTAGTCCAAAAGAAAAAGGGAAACAACCCAAAACATAAGCCCAGCGCTTAAATACCTAATCAACTTCTTTTTTTCGTCAATCTAATTGAATTTGTGGAAAGAATGATACTGATTAAATTTGTAGATAAAATTTTAAAAATTAAATAATATGAAAGTTGATAATTGAATTATTACTTAAGTGCTGATAAATATGATTATTCATATTAGTGACAAATTATTTAATTTGTAAATTTTATTTAGTCTTCCTAACATTTATCAAAATTTCAAGTATTTATTATTTTTTTGTGATTGTAGCATTTTAATGATGCATATGCCTAGAAAAGTTGGTCATGCGAATTGCATGTGATAGAATTAATGGAAAATTGTGCACGACCTAAAAGTCTCTTGGGCTCAAAATCAAATTAATTGTTCGAAACTCGTGTTATTTACTTTCATTTGAAAAAGGGCGATCCCGTATTTTCCTTCACATAATGCTTTATTAATAAGCAAGAGATAGTATAACTCTCATAAACCTTTGCAAGTTACATAGTATAACATGAGTTTATCAACACGGTGGCGTCTTATGGTAATAAAATGAAGACATGTGAAAGTATTTGTTCATATGTTATTTATTTCGTTGGAACATGACAACACCCTGCCATATAAGTTTTTCTTTAATAATTAGGTATCAAATTTGTAATTATAAAAATTATATTATCTTCACATGTCGTAACATATTAAACTGAGACGTTATTGTGACGGTAACCCATTAAACCTAAGTACTTTTCTTTACAAGGGGGGTTAAAAGGTCAGGCAGTTGGAGGGAAACGCATATGACCATTTGACATCCGACAGTCAAAATCATTTTCGACATGTATAGCGGTAAGTGTGTGACATAGTAGAGATTGGTGATTGGAGGAGTGCAACAAAAACAAATCAAAGTAGGGTGAAAAAGCAAAAGAAAAACACAGGCTCTGAGAGAGGAAGAGAGAGAGACTCACAGAAGTGAAGATAACAGAGAAAAGCGCCGATTTTTTATCTCTTGGCGTTTCAAAGACAAAAGCCAACACACAACCCATATCTCATTACCATCATCACTCTTCTATATTTATTTTTTCAATTGTTCTGGAGAAAATTTGAGGCCAAAGTTGTTCACTTTTTTGAGTTTCTGCTGCTGCTCGGCTGCCATCACACTATGTAATGAGCTCTTCTTCTTCAAATATCTCACCTGCTGATTGTATAATCGTCATGGTCTGTTTGGTCTGTTCGGTTTCCCGTTGGGTTCCTTTGTTTCTTTGTCTTTTTTTTGTCCGAGACTTACTCAGCAACCAAACAGATCAGATAATTACTATGATGTTGTTTTTATTCGATCTAATTTGTTACTGGGGTCATCGTAAATCCACTGAAATGCAGGGCTGTCTGAGACAAAGTGCATTTTTCACCGTTATCTCCATAGATCTTGAGGTCAGTTTTCAGTTCTCTACATGCTGGGGAAATTATCTTCCACTCATCTATCATTTTCTCGCACTTTATTATTATTATTTTTTTTAGTGGAATTCCCAGATGGGTAATCTCTAAATTTATGGTTGCAGAGATGGAAAAGGAAGGGAAAACCTCTAAGGCCACAGAGTCAGACTTTGTGCTGCAATGGGGGAACAGAAAGAGGCTTAGATGTTCAAAGTTGAAGCAGGACGAAAGCTTGAGCAACAACAACAGATCGTCGGACTGTTTGAGGAAGAAGAAAATCACATCTCGGGCCGCCGATAAAGACTCTCCGGCTCCTCATCCACTGCCCAATCGCATGGATAAGTAAGAAACATCGATGGTTTTAACTGAAACATGATGCAAAAATGTTGACTTTTCAAATTTTGAAGTATGCTAGATATTATGTTATAAATTGGTTTGAAGCAGCTACTCTTGAACTAAGAGCTTGTATGTTTATCCTCTGTTTTTGTATTCTCTGAAATTTTTCAAAGATCCCTCTTAAAAATAAAGAAATGAAAAAATGGAAGTGAAAGGTTAGAACTTAATGGTAATAAATTGAACAATCCCAGAATCATGGCACTTGTGAAGTTAGTGTTTTGATGATATTGTTATATCTCAGATTCGTTGCTTAAGTTGGCAAAATTCTCAATCAGAAAGTCTGTGGGAAGTGGAATAGAGGTAACATTTTACCAAGTGGTTGTGTTTTGATTGCAGGAGTTCAGCTTCGCCAACGAATAGTAGGAAGCAATTTGTTACTTCACCTGAGAAGGAAGATCGGTACTACACAACAAGAGGTTCATTAGGGTTGGACGAGAACGGGAAGGTGTTAGGATTAGATAATCCTGGTCCTGCAAGGGATGACAAAGGAAGCCGTGCTTGGCCAAGGTTATTTCTATCATTGTCTAGTAAAGAAAAGGAAGAGGATTTCATGGCTATGAAAGGGTGTAAGCTACCTCAAAGGCCCAAGAAAAGAGCAAAATTGCTCCAGAAAAGCCTACTTGTAAGTTGTTCATGAGAGAGAGAGAGAGAGAGAGAGGGAGTGTGTGTGTGTGTTTAACTGTTTGTGTTTGTCTTTTTTTTTTTTCGTTTTTGTTTGTGAGGGGTTTGACTTATGCTCACTTCCGTGTGCAGCTGGTGATGCCCGGTGTATGGTTATCAGATTTGTGCCAGGAGCGGTATGAAGTCAGGGAGAAGAAGACTTCAAAGAAGGTATTCTTGTCTTAACTACTTTGTTCCATCCTTAGGGTTGAGAAAAAAAAATGGATTTAGAATCTGAGACTGCTTTTAAATGTTCGGGACCTCAAAATCGGTAAACAAATGGAAATGTCATATGATATTTTATGTTGTCTGTTTATTTTCCTAAGAATTGTTGTGCCAAGCATAACTATGCAAATCTGAAACTGATTGGGATTCCATTATTATGCAGAGACCCAGAGGATTGAAGGCCATGGGAGGTATCGATAGCGAATCAGACAGAGAGACGTGAAAAAAAGGCAAGAAGATACAACTTTATCGAGTAGTTAGGACTCGAGTATGCAACTAGGGACAGAGATCAAAGCCGGGTAAAAGAAAAAGTTGAAAGAAACAGCGTGATCTCTCTTCCCTTGGTTTGTTATGTATTGCTTCGGCATTTTTGAGACTTGGAAAATAAACTTCATTATCTGCCCTAGTTGCATGATCATTTTTATCAATCTATTTGTTCTTTTTGTTTCATATCACCGGTCGCGACTCACCTAAAACTGCAAGCTTGGAGGATTATTGAACACAGTTGCTCGAGATTAAAGGACTTATATGTTTGCTGTTAACATATCCTATTTCAAAGGGCTCTGAAGACGGACGATTCTAGCTTTGATAACATTCATGATTTTGCCTTATCTTTTTTGTCAAGTGAGCAACCTGATTCGCAGTGAGAAAATTAATGAGCATAAAAGATGCACATTAAAGTAGAACGAAACAAGATAATGCAAGTTACATTGAATTAATGAAACGGGAGAATCAAATTGAGAGAATTACATATTTTGTACACTTGGGCTCCATTCGTTGGTTGACACTTGAAACCTCAAAACTGCAGCTAAAACAAGAGAGTTCTAGCTACATTTGCCAACTTACATCTCCCTCCAACTAAACATATTCTATTTCTTTCCCAATTTTCCCCCTCATTTACACATCATACCTATATTCATTCCATGCAAAACAATTAGTTGTATGTACAGAGACAATTACAAAACCCCCCCAAAAGCCCTGTTCCATGCTGGCGGAAGCAAATGATATGCATAGAAGGCCAGCGAGGAGTGCGACTAGTTTTCTTTCACAAGCACCATTTCGCACCACATGCATGTATATGCCCGCCTCTTACTCATTCTTGCGACTAAAGGACCCGTCTGACACTCAGTGCATTGAACTTGGAGAGCTCAATGCCGCTAATCAAAATTGCAGACCTGGCAATCTTTGCATTTTCTGCAATGATAGAATCAGTCGCATCATATGTACCCTGCCCTGCTCAGAATTATGTCCATATTAATAAGTCCTCTAAGAAGCTCGAAAAGAAGAGAACCATTCGGAAGAGGGTTGACTACCGCTTTGACTTAGACACAGTGAGAAAATTACCGTGATCATGTCTTCTAATTTGTGGTCCACTGCAGCCTTCCAACAGGGAGACGCAGTCCATGTCCAGCCCAAGCAATTCAACATTTTTTTCAAAAGCGTTCTCATACCAAAGGAGGAAAAGACATCTGAAGACCACAGCATACTACAAGGCTTCCAAGGTAATTGATGCTTTTGTGAAAACAGAAAGAACAAATGGAGCTTCTTCCCCTGGATGTATAGTTGTAGGCACAATTGTGTAACCTTTTGGATCTGGATCCAAAACCATTTCACAAGATATTTCTCGAGAATTGACATAATCCGTCCCACCAACTGATTCATGTAGGTATATATTGTAAGCAGCACGACGGCCTCGAGTTTTGAGTATCCTCATCCCAATGTAGAACATCATTGAATCATGACTGGATTGATAGTTTCTGAAACCAGCAACTGTTCTTGAGAAGCTCACACCCTAAGCATTGACCAAATGATAGAAGTTTATAAATCCAGTTATAAAAAGATAGCTAATTGTTCATATAAATACACAACAAGGTCCAATTCGAAAGATACCTGTGTCAACGTAATGAATACGTGAATTGGAAGCGCGGCATCAGGGCCAGTGGCCCTCAATCGGAACTGTGGATTTTGATGCCATGTCTCATAATCTTGGCAGCCACCAGCACTATAACCTCGCCATTGGCCATGAACAGAATAGCGCATCTCAGGGGGATAGACACGACAAACATATATTGATCGAAAATGAATTTGGAAGTCTTGCCAGGACATCCAGAATATGCCGTCCTTTGACTGTTAAGAGAGACAATAGAGAAACATTATGAATCATGTCTTGAGATTGGAAACACTCCACCAAAAGTAATGACAAGATGGATTCACATATGTGATGCAGAAAAATGAAACAGTAAACAACCTGAGGAACATGCTTCAACTTATGCTTCATCCTATCAGTCCAAAGAGGTGATGAGTCCGACCAAGGGCCATTCCACTCAACTTCATTAGCCCATGGATTCCGAATCTGAATAAGCTTGTGGCCATCCACCTCTCTCACCTGAGTTAACAAAACTTGAACAGTGAGCCCACGTTATGCAAGTTTTATTTGCTGACATATAATGACATAACTAAGAGATGGTCGCCTTCCAACGCACCTGCAATAACGAGTAGGCATGACCTTGCACAATGCCACTGGAGGAAACATGTACATCTGAACCTGATGGACTGCCAGCACCAAGAAGAAAGCCTTCTTGTTTGAAGCGCAGCAATTGAGACCATAGTCGACCACTCGCAAGATCAATTTGGGCCTGAGCACTCCTCATGTCAATCTCCTCGCCAGCACCTCCAGTAAGGTCGACAAGAGCATCTTGGACAAGCCCACCTTCTAATGCTTCATAGGAGCCATGCAATTTAGCATACGCCTTCTCCAATAAAGAAACCCATAGCTCGTTACCTTTCCTACTAGTAGCAAACGCTGGTTTCCCCGGTGACTCACATGGAATCCAATCATCCACAACAACAGGAACCCACTCACCCTAAAGAAATGTCAGGAACAAGCCTTAGCATGCTACTATTAGAGTGGGAATTCAACTTCATTCTATTTAATTAGTCTCCAAGAATTCTAGCATCTTAACGATCATTTAGCTGCATAAAGTTGCAAACTTCCCATTACAGAGAAATAAAATTCCTATAAAACAAGGCCAAGCTACTATTTTCATCAGAATTATGTATAATAAACTCTTATCCAGAGACGGTGAGTGCTTTAAATTTTAAACTGGATCGGGAGTCGGTGGTCTTTTGTAGCAAGAAATTCAAGTTCTTTAGCGTGCTCTATTGAAACACTGCAAATCCTCCTGATGTTTATCCTCTCTTCCTTATCTTCTCTTTTTAATTCATATTACCCATGGTAATGGATGCAAGTTTATACTAGAACTTCATGTTTAAAACTAAATGATTCGGAAATGTTATGTTAAAATGACAAGTCACCTGAATACAGAAGCGAACAGTGTAGATTCCTTCCTCATTATACTCTGGGGTAATTATCACTTCCGATATTCGTGAAACCTCCGTCAGAACAGCAACGGCACTCAAAAACCAGCAATCACCAAGTCGGCCCTATTTAGAATGGAAACCCACTTAAGGATAATGCGGAACAAAATAATCATAATTAATTACCATATTGGCAAAGAGCCAAACCTGACAAACATCAGAAGGATTGACAGTGCCAGAAAACAAGCATGGACGAGCATCCAGCCGACTCTCTTTTACAATATCAGCAGGCCTCACCCACTCAGAAACAACCTAAATTCAAAAGGCCAGAAAAGTTATCTAAGACCACAGATTCTGTCAACAACAAAATCAAAAAGGTAATCAGAACAATAAAACAACCTGCAACTTTGATGGGGGATTTTCTGGATCTACAAATAATGACTGATCATTTGGCGGAAACTCCTGATCAGTAAAATGTATTTCTCCCCTTGCAGAGAGGGCTTCCTTGACTGCCAATTCAACTGAAAGCATTCGCTGGTTGATTTCTTCTTGTGTTTCCATCCTAGGTTTCCGAAACCTCCTGGCAAATGAATCCACATCAACCAGCACTGCATCACGTTCTGCCCTTCGTTTCCTCCCACTAGAATATTGCCCATCCCAATCAACGTCATCCCTATCATACAGATCTACATCTGCAGGATCACTATCCCATTCATCAACCTAGCAAAGGAAAAAGAATGCGAAGCAGAATCAGTTGATAGGTTTAACCACCCACTATAATAAGAACTAAATTACTTTACTTTACATTCTAGCATGGATTCATACAGAACAATTTATATCAACAACAAAATGCACATACTCTAGAGGGTGAATCTGCCCATTGCCAATTATCTTCAGGAAAATCTATCATATCAGAATCAGCTGAGCCAATAGCTGAATGAAGAGCAGCAACATCATCTTCAGTTAAGCACCTTCCCCATAGGAACACATCCATAATATGCATCTTAGACTCAGCCCCTTCACTGTCTGACCTCCCAAACGCATCCACATCTGTAGGTGGTCTAACACCAACCCAAACTTCTGTTCCTTGTTCCCAGACAGTATTACCCACATGCAATGGTAAACCGGTCTGGTAGCCATCAAAACCACCATCCAGATAGCAAGTTGCCTCACCTAAATCAGCATCAATCGTCATTGTTACCAAATGCCACCTGAAAAGCAAATACACGTTCCAGTGAGATTCAAAAGCTATCAACAAACACGTATTCATGGTTAAAAATCTTTTTTTTTCATACATAAAACTGGGAATTTATTAAGGAACCAGACAAGGTGAACAAGAGGTCCATAAGAAAAACATAAAATCAAAACAGACCTGATACTGAAATATTAGAATAATAATAAAGAAAAAGAAAAGCCCACCTCAAACACAAGAATATGTGATCAACAAAAGAAATTAAGTAGCCCTAAACAAATGGATGGTAATAGAGAACCATCAGGACGAATCCATGAATCAGAATAAAAAAAAAAGCCAATAATTTTGTTTTAATGGATAAGGCTCAAACCTTCCATCTGCTATGCTAGTTGCACTAATACTCCACTCCTTTGCAACAGTAGTTTGTCTATCACCTTTTGTGATCAATCTAAGCCCAACTTGTCCAGCTTCAATACCTTGCTCAGAACCGGCCACCAATATTTCCCAGCAAACTTTCTTTTGAAACTCAGTGCCAAATAAGCAAACAGGCCCAGATACAGGTTGAATCATCACTGCAACGGAGAAGCTAATCTTTTGACTTTGACAAATGGTGGGGTCAATCTGGCCACAGTGTCTGCCACTTGTTATAGGCTCATCATCTAGAACACATACAGCCCCAGAAATTCCAGTCTGCCAATGACATTAACAACCACATTTCCGTGAACAAACAACCTCCTTATGTAAATATCATGACAAGGCAATCAAACTAAACAGATGAGGCAGGACAAACAATAAGTGAATAACAGATTGATATATGATAAAACAAAAGATAACAGCACAAGGTATTTGAATACTTATTGGATCTACTGGATCATTGAGATGAACTGAATACATGG